AATGTAGATCAATATGGCCCTTTACAGCATGCAATTTAAATGAATATTTTCGAAGTTATTACAGATTTAAAATGCAAACATAGCGGTTGCGGCGGTACCGACCGGAAGGCCGGTTTGTATTGTCTAATGACAAAAAAACTGTGAATGTTGTATATAAACACATTCTGTAGTGAATTTAATGTGTTCAGAGGTTGTCTATTTAAGCTTTCCCCTGTCGATAATAATCTAAACAAAACAAAAATATATTTAGTATCAGCATTACACCCGTGCGAAGCTGGGGCGGGTCGCTAGTATAAAAATATTTGTTAAGGGTTCATTTTACTTTTTTATTCTTATGCTCTTTGGCAATTTAGTTTCCTCGTTGTTCCGGTCCAACAGCATACGTATAAGACGTGAGTTACTAATAGTAGCAATCATGTTTTGTAATAAACCTTAATTACACTGGCTATTTGTAAATGATTTTTGATTGCTGAAATGTAAATATAAATGTGCATAGTGATTCAAAACTTTCAACTTTTACCGTTCCGTAAAAGTATTTAAACATGTATGACGTGATCAGTAACGAATGCACATTTATAATTAACGACGACACTATGAAATCTTACATTATTATTTATCACTGTCGTCGCCTACTTTAACATCTCCGTTGTGTGGGTGCGTATTTGCGAAGAATGTGGTAATTTAAGCTACTGCGGCACAAAAAAAAATGCAGTAAACGTAATAACGGACATGCTATTACCCAACAAACAAACCTATACACTTTCGCAGCTTTTCCATTATTTATCCGTTGCATAGAACGGAAATATTTTACGACTTCATAAAAGTGGTTTCAATTCTAATAAACATTTAACAAAAACGCACCAATAAAACTTCAGATAAATCATGTTTTGTTTTTCTTTCTTTTAATTATGGAAACGTAATAAAATTTGAAACGTCTCGCATCACACCTTTATATAATTAATAGCAGGAAGTTTATTGTTAATAAGAACATCTGCTTTCGCACATTCTAATCACTTTAATGGCTTCATTTGTTATTAAAATCTCCATACTCTTAAATATATAAAAAATTCATAATCCTTCCATGTTGCGTTCTTACTTAGAATTGACTATCATCATCATAAGGTCATCAGTCCTAAGACTGGTTGGACACGCACCTCCACTCTTTCCTATACTTATACTGAGCTAAACTTCGCATTTCCCTAAAACTAGAACAGCCCACATCGTTAACTATTTGCGAACAGTAATCTAATCTAATCTAGGTCTACCTCTACCCCTCCTAACTCCTGTTTCTGCCTCTAATATGTCTCTGACCTAGACCTTCATGCCTGAGAAGGTGTCCTACCAACCTATCTCGCCTATTTTTTATTGACTTCCATATAGTCCTCTGTTCTCCTATTCTTTCCAATACCTCTTCATTTCTAACCTTTTCTACCCACGATATCCTCATCCTCCGCCTATAACACCACATTTCGAATTGACTATAATTGACTTTTATTAATTGTGAATCAATTTTAAGGGGTTTTTGTATAATTCGAGTGTATGATGGAATTTATTCAATTTCATTACCTACATGTTAACAAGTGGCACAGATTCTGAAACATACCAAAAGTTCATGTTTTCTTGTTGCGTTTATATTTTGTATCTATCGTATTTACTTGGCTCCTTTTTGGGCAAATTTTTTATAGAGCGCATGGTGAATTTTTTTTTTCAAATTTTAAATGGTTAGCGAGTGCCCCCATTATAAAAACCATGAGGTTCTTATTTTGATCTCGTATTCATTGCCTGACTAAAAATCAATCTTCGTCAGACCTACAAGGTAATTTCAATCACTTCCCCATTGATTAGGTTCCTGATGCCTACTGCATTGACTACAAAAATTTATAGATAACCCCGACTACCATTTAATTTGTTATGTTATATCATTGGATGCTGTTCATCGTCGTCGGTGAGAATGTGTTTCTAACAAGGGCAAATACGGTAAACATCACGTAACAAACTAAATGTACTTATAATCTGAGAGGAGAAATTATTCGGCACATATATGACATAAAAGGTAACGATTGGAATGGCAATAACTCTAGGAGATGTAAAAGGATTTAATGACTTAACAAAACAAATCGTCTTGATGTGTATTCTACAAGCACACACGTCAATCTTTTGCCATCCGTTAGTTCGTAATGCACCTTTATAACGCAACGTTGAAATTAATATCTACACGTCGAGAGAACCGTCTGAAAGTAAAAGGTAATGAATTTCTAAAGACATTGTAACCAATTCAAGATTGTAAAGTAATGAATTTAGAATGTTTGTATATAAAAAAGTTTATTGAGTTATAAATAAATTCTAGGTACGTATAAAGATAGACATTGCCATTCAGTAGTCATTTAAGTATTAAAGCTGGCAGCAAAAATTATTAATGAAAACGAGTGGTTGGAGCGTGAAACTTTAGGTTTCTCCGTTGTTTAAACCATGAAGTTTCCAAAAATGTAAAAATAAGCTTTGAGAATTTTCAAAATAGATTAATTTGTCATTTTTGTTTTTAACTGTATGAAGTAGAAATGCTTAATTTATTCGGTTGCAGTTTTACTCACTCGTAAATCAGCCGATTTGAGGTAAATTATCTCCTCATTGTAAATGTACATAAATAAGTACCGAAAACATATTATATTACAAGAATATTTTATTATTTCTACAAATGCGTTGCCAAATTGGAGTCTGAATTAGCTTTATTGACACTGTTTATTGGGAACTAATGTATTCCCTAACTGATGATAAAATTATGGTAATACTAACAATAAATAATTCAACTAACGGGAGTTTTAGGTCGATTGATTGATGTAAAAATATTCTTTTGTAACGGTTCCGTCATTTTCTATATTTGCGGGTGTGAACCGGAGAAAAACTCGATGTGTTAGTCTCTCTTTTAATGATAAAGTGTAAGAAATGTCGAGGCTGTACTTGTCTAAGAAATATCAAGGATAAAGATGATATGTAGCTCCACATATATCTTTGATGTCAAATATAACACAGGGAATATTTATCTATCAGAATGAACTTATGAATATTAAAAGCAATGACGTGCCAAGCTTTTCTAATATGAATATATGTAGGTAACTTTTAGATATTGCCCGAAAAATTAACTGAATTAAAGTTAAAGCATTTGTTAGACCATTATTGAAAACATGAGTATGAAAACATGAATATGAACAACTGGACTAAATTCTTAATTTTTAGTTTAACCTATAGAACTACGTACCACCTGCAAGTCAGTAAAGAGGGTAAACATGGCAACGAAATCATGTAACCCTTCCTTGAAATCATATATCGTCTAAATAAAAAAATAATCGTAGTAAATAAAACCGAAATTTGTGTTTCATTCTCAACTGATGGGACAGTTTGCTTAGCATCGAGCTGTTCCTTTGTCCAATGTGAAGACTGGTGAGTAAGGCTCTCTTCAACCATATTCAGGAATCATGAAAGTGGATGGGTAGTGATAGATAGAAAGAGATTGAAGATTATTTTGCCAGAATTGACGCATACGATGAAAAGAAATGAAGAAAATGTGAATTAAGGCAGTCGCGAACCGAGAAACAAATCGGTGACTTGCCGAATTTTATAAAATCAATTTCAACCTTTTACCTTTTATCTCTTACATACGATAGCATGAAAATGGAAAATTAACATGGAAATTATGAATATTTAGCCATCCGGGTCTTTGTTTTCGTTATTTTCAACAGACGAAATAGAAAAAGGATGAGACCAGACAGATGCAGTTCTATGTCTCCGATTGCGGCATAGTCGTGACCGTGCCCTTTACCTTTTTCTCCAAACATCTAATTAGACTACCAAACTTAAATAGTAATCGGGGGAACGCGATACTTTTGTACGGAGGGCTCAAGGAGATCTACAGAGCCCCATAAAAATTGAAATTAAAAAAATTCGCACACTACGCAACCCATAAGAGCCGAAAAGATTCGATCCCAAACGACGTAAAAGCAGGAAACGTATTTAGATGAAAAGGGTGGAGGTGGGGGCTATCAAAGCGTTCGTGTTGGAGTCTATTAGGACTGCTGTACTACTACGTATAATTTCTTTTCCATCAGGAAATTTAAGTAGAAATAACTAATTACTAGAGATAAATTAAGTTGTACCTACAGGTCACATGGTCACATAATGATTAGTTGACCTTATTTGCGGAATGAAGAGTTATTTGTTATTCGTCAAGTGGATTTTTGTTAATTCTGTTCGTCAGATGAAGCATAATTAATCTTTTTTCGAATTAATCAAGTGGAAAATTTTAATCGCTTTCAGAAGTTACTATTTATTTTAAACATCAGTAATAGTATATGATTCAAGAAAAGAGAAGGTCAATCAAAGTGAAATTGTTGTAACAACTAGTATCAAGTTTCCAATAGTACTTCACTTTTGGTATAGTTTATTTTGCATTGTTAATTAATCACATTTAAGGAGGCTCATCAAACTATAGTTTGATGCATTAATCCATGTGACAACGTAAAAAAAAATAATAAAGACAAATGCAATGACTCAAATATGTGCACTGAGAAACGTTCTAGTTTAGTATTATGTAAGCATTTTTAATTGTTTTCTCTGCACAATTGTGTGAGAAAATTATTGGTACCTAAAATTAAAGGTAGACACCCTTGAATCCCATTAGGAAAACTGTCTAGGATATAGATGGGCAGTACTTGTAAGATCTTTTTCCACCCTTGTTTTTCTTTTTGTAAGGAATACAAAACTTCCTTTTATCTAAAAGTATATTGCGCATTATGTAAACGTCCATTTAATTTATTAAATGTGTTTATTTCACTTTCTTAGCCAAACAAGACCACCTTGTAGGTATATTCAGAAAAACCTTAAACTGCCTCTTGATAGTAACAATAATTCTTATGGTAGTTTTAGTAACATTTAGATGAATTGGGCTGAATTGTTATGGTAAATGGCACTTTCAATTGTTCTTACTGATTAATTTTTTTTTACAGATAATCACAGGTCAACAATTTTCTTGTCAAGGCAGACCGTCAGGTTATTATGCTGATATAAATACCGGATGTCAGGCAAGTCGTGTTTGTATTATGCATCTTATGTGTTAGCAATCAATTAAGCAAGTTCGTGTTTTATTTTACTTATATAACAATTTGTTACAAACTACAATTGATTTTCACACACCAGTTCTCCAGTAATTTAGATAAATATGCATTGTTTTCTCATATTCTCATTGCTTAATATAATAGAAACCAAAGGGGCCATTTTTCGGCCCCTATAACATTTTGGTGGTGCAATTTAATAATAATTTCGTACAACACCCTACAAAAAATTCTAAAGAAATGCTCAGCTTAATAACTTTAAGTACGTCAAATACAAAGCTGTCTAATGTATACAATAACTTTCTTTCTGTAATAAACATTATCTACTTCTAAATTTTATAGGTGTACCACATGTGTGATGGTCTTGGAAGACAGTTCAGTTATACATGTCCCAACGCCACTCTTTTCCAACAGAGGATGTTGATTTGCGACCATTGGTACATGGTTAATTGTAGCAAATCAGAAGTGGATTACAGGGCAAATCTATTGATTGGTCAAAAAGACAAACCATTCGTTGAAGATAGTGAAAAACAAAGAACACCCAGACCAGACCTTCTGACTAACCCAAGCGAACCCGAATACAATTTATATTCACGCAATAGTCGAGTTCTTTCTCAAACAAATTTAAATAAACTTGTTGGAGTTGATACTGAACGAAGTCAAGAAAATGGCTCACAAAGTACCGATAAACCGTTATATTTTGTGCCGAGCCATTGGTCAACTGAGTATACGAGAGACGTGACAACAGAACCAAATTTAATAACTCACGAATCAGGTTTTAAGGGTAGAGTAAGGGAAAAGCCTAGAGGTTTCAGTAAACCTATAGATATTGTGAAAAAGAGGAAAATAACTATAAACACAATTGATAATAACAAATTTGTAGACACATCTACGTCATTAAATGCAATAAGTCAAGACAATAGTTTAGGAAAGAAGCCTGTTCATTCTAAAATAAAACCGAATTCAATAGTTAATTTCCCATCAAATTTCGAAAACACAACACCCAAGTTCCCAACGTTTGTGGACGAGAGAAATAAAAAATTTGAAATTGAAGAAACACCAAATGGTGGAAATATTTCTGATTTTAACCTATTTTTGGCTCCCCCAAAAAGTTTACGTCAGCCAACAGGAGAGAGGACACCTGTTAATAATTTTAACTCACCTACAGTAAAAGTGAAAAAACAAAATGCTCCAGAGTATCCTTGGCAAGACTTGAGAAAAAGGTATTTTATTCCTGATGTCACTTTTCCATTGGAAATGGTACCACGAGCAAGTTACGACAACGCATTAAATTCATTTCAAGTCAAGTCGGTTCCAGTTTTTGTAACAAATAATAATGACACACAAACGTAATGATTGGTAAGTCATACATTGTTTTTTATATATTTTTTACAAAATAAATTGTCCATTAATCTAGTTTAGTTAGGTACGTATTATATTAATTAAAAGGCATCTTATGCAATGTAAATACATAAGTAGTTAGACTGAAGCTTTTAAATAAAGTTATATATTGTATTTTCGATTTGATTTATGTATAAATAGTCTTAGTACAGAGAAATCTACAATTAAGTTTAGATTGAAATGTACCTTCAAGCATTAGTGCCAATTGCTAAAAATACGTTTTTTTAGTATAAAAAATATGATATAAAAAGACGGCTTGTCACGCTTTTGAGTTGAAACCTTAGTTCTTTTAACACAGGGATAAATTAAAGTAACCGAAAACCTTTCAGGGACCATTTGGCTTACTGGGGATGTAATGTAATAAAAAATATCTAAAAAAATACATTTGAATACGGCTGTATTCACAATTATTCTAAAACATGCAGTGGAATCTTACTTTGATTAATTGCAGAACTCAATGATCTTACTCAAAACATCTTTGAAAGTACCTTTAACCATGTGAACAGTGCCAGGGTGAGTGAAAGGCTCATCTTTAAGAATTAAAACTTTTTCGCGTAAATAAAATTTTCACAAAGATACACACATGTGTACACATGTACATATATATNTATATATAATTTATGTCACTCGCTTTAGTCACGTAAGCGTGAGATGTGTGACCAGGTGTTTCGCACTCTTTTTTTATCTTCAATTTTATATGTAGTATGTACAAAATTCCTGTTAAGTATATAGATTCTATTGGTACTGCATTATTAATAATAAACTACTTATATAATGTTTTAGTAGATTTAAATAAAAATGATACTTTTAAGTAAATAGCGAGTTACCATGGCATGTCGCCATCTACCCACATTTGCTGAAGTGCTTCGTATTTTACACAAGGACCTAATTCGCCTTAGTCCTTATTAAAGTAGATATCTACTTGTCCAGTTGAATCTTTGACACAGTTTATATACGTGAATTGGACGTAAACCAAATTAATAAGAACTTAATCCGTATTTATTAAGTAGTTACTAATTACGTTCAAAAGAACTGTAAAACAACTCACAAGAAGTTTAAAAAATTCCACTTTAATAACGCAAAAAATTTATACAAAGTTACAAATATGCAACATTTCTTGAAAAACTTATCCACTTAATTAAAAAAATCTATAGCCTTGCAAAAATAAAGACATTTTTTATTTACTTAACATTTTTGTAGGCAGTATGCTAACATTTGCACATAAAGAATATTCGTTTGTATAAGTACATTGTATAACATCCCAAATATTTTCTACATATATACGTACTTAAACGACAACAGTATAACGTAAATATGCAAGTTTAGTATTCTATAAGTACAGACGCTTAAACAATTTCTGAATATAATTAAGTTACGTAATAAATTAAAGCCTGAAAAAAGATATTGGCGCATTCATATCACCTCATTGTTCTCATCTTATGTAAAACGGGTGGCATAAGATGTTTTAATATTTTCGGCATGTGTTGCATCTTCTCCATGATGTGACGAGGAATACTGTCTGAATCTCTATAATTGGACATACGTCCATCAGGATACTGGTATCGGATATGATGTTTCCCATCAACCCAAAGTTGAGAACCATCGGTAAACCGGACCCGTACTTCCCCGTTTGACAACTGCGTGGCAGTGCCTATACCGGGAATAGACACTTGACGGTCTTTGTCACTCCCCCGCGAAGACAGGGATGAATCCTTTTTCGAACTCGACTGGACATTTGTTACCGAAGCAGCAAAAGAAGGCTAAAAATATTTTTTACATAAAATTGGAAGTGTTAAAAAAATAAGAGAGAAGGTGCAATAATATTTTTTAAAAACAATTGTACAAAACCAAGACTAAGATAATTGAAAAATAAACTTAATACTTACCATTTTTTGTTGAATACTGTTTTCCTTTCCAATAGATGGAGATGAATTAGGTCTTCGACCCACAATTATAGGGAAATTGTTCCCTGATAATTTCGATAAAGTCTTCTCCAGCAATATGCAATGCTCTTTAGCTTGATTCGCGTGATTCCAGAGAAGATCCATTCCTCCTGACAAATCAAGACAGTCTTTGGTATCTTTAAGTGTAAGACATTCTCCCTTACCGTCCATTATGACAGTACCTTCGGTTGATGACTGCGTCACTTTTCCACCTGTTAGCAGATAAGTTGAAAAATAAATATACTAAACAAGTTCTATTCAATGCCAATATGGCATTTTCAAGTTGACGTATAGTTTGATACACTTTAAAAACCAATTACACTTAATATTGGTTTCCTTTACCTTCATAAAAACAGGCTTCAAAATCGACCAAGCTCTCCATCAGCAAGCATTTTGCCTTGTCCGTGTAATAAGTAACTTTTGGCGTTTTGGCTTTAACAAGTTCGACAAATTTCGCGGCGTAACTGTACTTCTTCCAGTGCTTTTCAGGTAAGTTTTCAATACTGTAAATTTGATCGCTCCCATGTAAAGGCAAAGGAGGTGGTTTAGTAGAAGGTGGTACCCCTTTACCGTCTCCTGGTTCATACAATACAATCCTTAAACCGTCTGGCGAAATTCGACACACTTCGCAAACAACATCGGTCTTCATTACACCACGCTTCTTTATAAATTCTATGCACACTTCACCATTATCTGAGATAGTTAAAATGGCGTTTTTTGTCTGATGCCTCGTCGGTAACAACCGATAAGAAGAAATTGGCGTGAAAGGACATGACGCTCGTTTCCTCCCCACAGAAACGTTTGTATTATCAGAAACTGTTTCTTTAGACTTTTCTGGACATTGAAAATTCTCTTGAGGACACCTATTAGCATTCTGATTACACTGTTGGGGATGATGATGGACAGAAATCAGTGAACAACAACACACGGAGGTAACACGAGAGTTACCAATTTCTGAAACGTAGCAATGTCCACTCTCTTTTTGAGGAAAACAGTTACTGTTACTTAAAGAGTATAAGTTTGGATTTGACCCGTTTTGATTACGAGCTACACAGTGATCCGAAAATTGTTTAGATTGTAAACTGGTGACATTGAAATTCTGACCTGAACACATCTTTACAGAATGAATACAATCGCTACTAGAATATCGAGGGTAAGAATTTAAAGGAAGTTGATATTTTTGCAAGGCACCGTCACTGTAAGCGCTGTCTTTTCTGCTGGACATTGTATGAATACCACTATCATGAGAACGTGAAGAGATGTCTCTGAAAGTCTAAAAGATAAAAAATATTATATTGAAAATTTAGTAATAAAACAGTAACAGACTTACTGTATGAATTTTAAGAAAGGGATGATCCAAAATTTGGTCTAATTTCAATCGATCTCTAGGATTCTTCTGCAAAAGAGCGTTTATCAAGTCTTTGGCTTCAATAGAAAGATGACTTGGTAATTGATAATTTGCCATTACAACCCTCGTCAATGTACTTTTGACTGCATGAGTGTCAAAAGGTGGAGAGCCAACTAAAAGTGTGTACAAAAGGCAACCAAGGCCCCAAAGATCTGCTTCTAAACCATGTGAACCTCTAGAAGCTACTTCAGGAGAAATGAAGTTTGGAGTACCACACATTGTCATATGCTTCTCATCAGGCCTGGCTAGCTGAGTGGCCAAACCAAAATCAGCAATTTTCTGAAAAAAATAAATATAATAAGTATAAATGTGAGTTTCAAATAAAATTAAAAATAGGAAACAGAGAAAGAGTTACATGACACAATAGTGATTTTAGCCTTAGACTAATGAGAGGAAGGCTATTGATAAAATATACCTACAGTGCTTTTACACATACCACTTGCATATCCTTAGTTAGAAGCAGATTTGATAATGAAATATCTCTATGAAGAATATTATGTGAGTGTAAGTATCTCATTCCTTCCACAACCTGTCTCATTATATGACTCGCTTCAGCCTCTGATAAAACCTGATAAAAGATAATGGTACTAGACAAATAAAAATTTATTTACATTTAAATTTTACTTTACCTCATTAGTTCTTCGCTTTAAATATTGTTGCAGCTCTCCATTATGACAAAGTTCTAATACTAAATATACATAATTAGCATCTTCAAAAAAACAAAACAATTCCAATATAGAAGGGTGCTTTAGCCTAGAATGTATAGAAACTTCTTGCCTGACACGACTTACCATATTTGCTGCTTCCATTAATTGTTTATCAATCTGAAAGCAACATATTTTTGTCATACGTTATATACAAATGTAACATGAATGGATATTAAATAAATTACCATTTTTATTGCAACTTCAACCCCGTTGGTCAAACATAGTGCTTTGTAAACTGTTGCAAAGCCTCCTTTTCCTAATAAGTTGTGAACTTCATAGTCCTAAAAAATGTAAAAATTTAACTTACCAAATAAACAAATTCCAAAACATTTAAATTAACCTCAATCCTTTCACTGAAAGAAGTCATTTTTCTTAATCGTTAGTTTTCCACAAGTATCACTTAAATAAAAACTAGTAGATATAACCACTCATCTATTCATAATTATAAACGGTTTTATCAACAAACGTGTAAATAATATTTAATTAAAATTTATAAAAATGTAAACAAGCTACATTTCTGGGCCTTGTTACTTTGTTTATTAATTTGATTTTAACGGTCGCTGCAACGATACCATTACCAATCGTACAGGTATCCTATAAAGTATTTCTTTTTAATTATGCAAATTTCTAATAGAGGTCTTTTTATACTTACTCCTTGGTTATGTAGACGTAAATAGCAAGCTGCTAAATGGGTTGCAGAACGGTGTGCTCCATATTTGCATATTAATTTGATGAATGTTGAATTTTCAATTGCGTCTGAATAATTGTGAATAATCATTATTTAACCCTTTTTTATTAACTTTTATTAAAATAAACTACAATTAATGTTCTTACAGAATAGATCAATGTATATTGCAACTGTATTTCTGTTTATAAAAAGTTTAGATTATCTCTAGTGAAAAATCTTTTTTGCCATAAATAAATAATTTGCACTTTATTTCAAACTGGCACATATACCACTTAGTACACCCTGACGTGCTTATATCATAAATTTAAATTGACCTGAATCACTATATAGGGAGAAATTATGCGGATTGAAATATGAAGATTCATTTTAAAGGATTCCAAATTATGATTCGCTACCTTTGATTTCGCAAAAACATATTTTTGTCAAAACACATGTCACTTTATGACAGCCTGTCGCACGTATATCATTCAAATTAAAATTTCATTGAATCACTGTAGAGAGCGAAATTTCGCGCGTAAAAATCGGAAATTGACAAAAGAATCCTAAATTATGAATCCATTTACTTCGATTTCACTTTACGACACTCGTCGTTACTCAGTAAATACATTGATTTAAGATTTTTGAAAAAATTTGCTATTAACTCACTGAAATTCAAATATTTTCTAATGATAAGGAAAGAAATTATCCTCTTTCCTTGTAAGAAGAGAAATGAGTAAAATTTATCATGGACTTCCCACAGAGTCAGGAAGGCGAGAATGACGAAGTATTAAAGTTATTTTTGTATACTTAACTGTTATAAAGAAGTTTAAAATTAAATTTAAAAAGAATCTTCTTATTTAGACTATGCTGTAAGTTTCTTTGCACATTGTGTTGCCTAGTCTGCTATAATATAAACCAATTAATTATGACCTAGTAAGACACCCTTTAATCGAGGACATATGGAAACTGAGCCATGGAATTTAATATCATTTTCAACTGAAAAACTTTAATACAGTTTAAAATTATGGTTAATAACTAATTTGTGTAATTAATATTATGATATTCAATTATTTATTTTGATGTTTAGGTACTTTTGACTTCTTGAATTTTCTTTTTCATAATCCTGGACGAATTATCCTATACCGTGTTGACTTGTTTGTTCTTGCTTATCATGACCTGTTCTAAATATAGTTTCTGTGATACTAAAGCAAGTTTTTTTTAGTGGATAATCACTTAAAGTTTATCAATTTGGATTTCGAATGTCATTTTTGCAAGTAATAATATCACAAGTGAAACTATATTTCGTTGGGATTTGAAACATGACATTAAATTTATTTATTATTTATTTGCCATTCTGTATGCTACAATACATTATTATCACTTCTCAAAAGTTTGCAAAATGCGATCCATCTCCATATAATTTTATGAGAGCATTTTTTATGTTTAAGTTATTATTTTGTATGGTTTAGCAAAATTTATGCCAGAAACTACCTGTCCAACATGGCACACGAAAACTCTTCATACCATGAAATGTTACATACCTTTTCACATAATTATCATTTCTACAAGCATAATCAATAATTTTCAATAATTTCCTGAAGTTGATGTTATTGTTCAACAGGTTGAAAAATCAGTTGCGCCTTTTTATGTTTAAAATTTTTACGTTATTTCGGGTTTTAACAATGAAAGATGCTTAACTTTAAATTGCTGCCAAAAACTGTCACCAGTACGTTATTTCTCACACATATCTATACAACAAACTAAACTTTTGGAACCATCAAAATCATTGTTTAACATTTTTAAGTAATTTTCGAGTCTTAACAATGAAAATTGCTTCATATTAAATTGTAATCCAAAACTGCTTTTAGTGCGTTACACACTTCTCACGCATTTCTGCATTACATTCACCTTTTGGAATCGTCAAAATCATTGCTCAACAAGTAGAAAAATAAGTCGCGCATTTTTATGATTAACATTTTTAAGTAATTTTCGAGTCTTAACCATGAAATTGGCTTTATATTAAATTATAGTCCAAAACTGCTGCTAGTACGTTACTTCTTATGCTGTTCTATATTACATTCACCTTTTAGAACCATCAAAACCATTGTTAAAGGGACCGAAAATCCAGTTACACTTTTTTATGTTTACATATTATTTTTATGTAATTTTCGGGTCTTAACAATGAAATTTGCTTTATATTGAACTGTAGTCCAATACTGCTGCCGATGCGTTACTTCTCACGCATTTCTGCATTACATTTACCTTTTGGAACCGTCAAAATCATTGTTCAACAAATAGAAAAATAAGTTGCGCTCTTTTATTATTAACATTTTTCGTAATTTTCAAGTCTTAACCATGAAATTTGTTTTATATTAAATTATAGTCCACAATTGCTGTTAGTGCGTTACTTTACTTAAACAATTTGTCGAAGATTCGATTGTGCGTTTTTATTATGTTTATCATTTTTGTGTAATTTTTGCTCTTAAATAATGTAATTTGAGAATATTGGAGCTTTACTGTTCGAGCGTACTATCTATCTTTTTCTCTCCGAATGCTCACTTCCTCTATGTGAACAGTAAAACAACTCTTGTCATTGCTGAATTAATAAACCAATTCAAAACTGGAACATATTTTTAGTTTTGATGAAATTCGACTACTAAAATTGTTGTATATTTTTATTTATCAGGTAAAATTCTAATTTTTGTTCCAAACTAAACTTAAGCAGTGATATCGTACTAATGATCTTTTGTTTCATTTTAGTGTATGTTTAGGAATTAGATACATACGAATCCATTTCCTTTTCTTGATAGTCTCTGCTGGTTTATTAGTATTATAGTCCTTACACTTTATTTACATTTTTAGTTTATCAATTAAAATAGAAATTGATTTGTGTGTTAAGATTAAAATTAAATAATGGTACGACTTTAATTATCCATTCATTATTTTCTACTATTTCTTAGAAATTCAATGATGGAAGTGGATATCCTTTTCATGTTGGCTCCAACAGGTGTCTAAGGATGTGTCCTTGCAGTTTATGTAACATTTTTGTTTATTACTACAAGTTAAAATTGTTGTACCTGTTACAGTGTCAAACGTAAAAAAATGGTATCATATTTATTAAATACCCATTCCTTCTTTCAGTTTAGTGCATTTTTTGAAAATACGCGTTAGCAAGTCGAATTCATTTGAATATAATTTTTTGCTGGTTTATTAGAATTTTAATCCTTACAGTTTTTTTACTCTATAGTTTTTTAGTAAAGATTGAATTTTAAATTTGTTGTTTTAGTTCGAAAGCTCTCCGCACTACGGTCGTCGATTGCGCCAGCAGTCTTTTAGTTCTGCCTCTGCTGGTCGTATTTTCACATACGTTACAGACTGGAAAATTCCATTGCTGTATACTATCTTCGAGTGTTAAAATACTTATGTGAAATTATTTTGGAAAATTGCAATTTTAGGCAATTCAGGCAGCGAAAATGTGGTGAAATCGAAAGCGAAGTATGTGGTGATATCAATATATACGTTTGATAACGAAGCGTAAACATTTTACTCGTTATAAAAAAAGTTGTTAATAAAAACATCATCTACTGTTATCAAAATAGACGGTGTTACTCATCGATTAAACCAATGCAATATTTTGTGTAATGTGGAACATTTTTTACAAGTTCCCAATAAGGAATTAAAACTGCTTTCCGGTGAGTTTTTGTCATTTAGTTTGTTCTCAAAATTTCGGTGATTAGGGTAGAGTAGGGTAAAGTTTTTCTCTTTGTAAGGTACTCCTTTTAAGTTATTTTTAAACTATTTAGCTATAATTTTAAGTATATTAATTCAGCTTATATGAAATAGGAAATTCTGATTGTTTTGTTGTTTACGTAATTTTTCCTTTTTAATAGTAAAATTTGCTATAATATAAACCGCAGTCAAAAACAGTTGCCAATAAGTCATTTGTCACATATCTCTACATAACTTTTACTTTTTGGAACCATCGAAATAAATGTTTAACAAGTCGAAAATTCAGTTGTGCGTTTTTATGTGTAGTATTCTTGAATAGTCTTTAGTTGTTAAAAAGGAAATTTACTTCATTTAAATTTCAGTTTAAAACCGTTATGCGTACGTTACTTCTCATACATTTCTACATAATTTTCACCATTTGGAACCGTGAAAATCACTTTTCAACTATTCGAAAATTCTGTTACGCTTTTTTGTTTGAAATTTTTTTGTAATTTTCGGGTTTTAATAATGATATTTGGATTATTTTAAATTGCAGTCTAAAACTGTTGCCAGTACGTTATTTCTTACAAATTCTACAAAGCTTTTACCTTTTTGAGCCATTTCCATCAGTGTTTAACAAATCGAAAATTCAGTGGGTCTTCTTTACATTACTTGAACATTTTTACGTAACTTTTGGGTTTTAAGAATGAAATTTGCTGTATTATAAATTGCAGTCTAAAACTGTTACCATAACTTTCGCTTTTTTGTATCATTTAAATCATTGTTTAACAGGTCGAAAGTTCAGTTGCGTTTTTTTATGTTTGTGTAATTTTCGCCCTTAAGCAATGAAATTTGAGAATATTGTGTAGTTTTACTATTCGAGCGTACTATCCATCTTTTTCACAACAACAGTACAACATCTCTGGTTTTGTTATATTATTGCACCAATTTAAAATTTATGTTTAACATTTTTACGTAATCATCAATTGTTAACAATGAACTTTGTTTTTTTAAATTTCACTCTAATACTAGTAGTATATGTATAGCGGTTCTGGATCGTAGTGGGGATGATTATTTTTGGTATTATTATCTCCTTTCTGCGCATGCGCGGGGTGTGGCTTGTATATTTTTATTTCTGATTGGTTGTTTTTTTGAGAGGTGGCGTGGCTTGTGATATCTTTCGACCAATGAGTGTTCGTTCTTTTGGATAGGAGTGAAGGTAAGACCGTATATGGTATTATTTTTCGAGGGGGCGTGGCTTCTGATATCTTTCGACCAATGAGCGTTCGTTCTTTTGGATAGGAGTGGGGGTATGACCGTATATGGTATTATTTTTCGAGGGGGCATGGTTTGTGATATCTTTCGACCAATGAGCGTTCGTTCTTTTGGATAGGAGTGGGGGTATGACAATATATGGTATTATTTTTCCGTTATGAGCCAGCGGGGGTGTGGTTTGTGTGTGTATTCTTGTTTTCTGATTGGTAACATGATGTCGTCCTCGTGGGGAAAATGACTGCTGCGGCGGTAGCGCCGACCATAGCTGAGGTGTGAAATATGAATATGTGTGATAAGTGATAATGATTGTACTATTTGTTTTTTTTTTCCTGGTGTTTCTCTTTTTAAATTAAATACTTTGGCAACTTATTTTACGCGCAGTAACGGCTCCATAACTAACGTTATCTATTTTTTTTAAAATTGTTTATATACAGCATTTGAGATCTTATCTGCTTTGTGTTTGCGATTATAGTAAATTAAATTAAACTTTAGCTTTCATTTAGATTATAATATTTTTTATTTACATATAGGTATAATAGAAAGTAGTGTGGGGTCTTATAAAATCAAAAATTATAGAAACTGACTATTGTTGTTGTAGTATCCCATGTCGTTAGGTTAGGTTACATTTGCGATTCGCCGCCGACGATGATATCCTCCTCCTCGTCATCCACAAAAATTTTATCGTCGTGGTTGTTTTCAGAATCCTGTATAGATCGCATCGGATTTAGTAGTTCATTTTCTTGTTGTTGTTGTTGTTGTTGTTTTGCTTGTTTGTCCTTAAACTCTATACATTTTATTAATTCAAGGTTATATATCTTCCCCTTTTGTCCATGATTTATAATACATAAGTAGACGTAGATAATTCCAACAACTGTCTGTCGTCTAAACCGTTGTAGCGTTCAGGTAGAAACAGTCGCTTATCGCCATCTAATTCAGCAAGCACCCGTTCACCGTATTTACTTGTAAATCGAGTCATTTTAGTTATTAAATAACCCTTTCCCTGTTCCATACTATTCAAATTTAAGAAATTGTACGCACCGAAAGAATTGAATGCTTGTATTAGAGACACCTGATTCTTCCTTCTATTGTTTGTATGGCTCGTTGAGGCTTTCGCCTTAGACGATACAGCCAGTTTCCTAGTCTTAGTCGTTGTGGAGGTCATGGTAGGTTTCTTTTCCATTTTGATTTTGATATTCAAACGGCAACCTCTATCAATACAAATAATATTAAATGCTTACTAGATGTAAAGTTGAGTCGGATGTGATTTAAGCTTGAAATTTGAGTCTTTTATACTGATATAACCTGATAGACTTTTGGAACGAGAAACACACGTGCGCCTAAGGTGTCATTCATGAAGAAAACAAATGGTGATTATAATTTGTTTAGTTTTGGAACGAGAAACACGTGCGCCTAAGGTGTCATTCATGAAGAAAACAAATGGTGATTATAATTTGTTTTTATAATTAACAACAAAGGTCGATAAGCAGATCCGTTTGACGTCAATAATTTTTTGTATAAAAAAGACTCATACCGGGTGTTAGATCGTTTTATTTCTTCCTGCGATATCATACAATGTATTCGCATCTAGTAATAATATGTCTATTAAATAAACTGTTTGCTCGTATATATTAAAATGTATATCGCTTATTTGCGCGTTTACTTTTCCAATCAAAGAAAGTATACAAATCATCCTGTCTCACCCTATCTTAGTTTCTTCTCACGAGATCATACATCGCGAATATAAAAGCTCCAACGAAGGATCGCTTCGAGCAAAAATGAATCTATCCGAGTGGCTGCGTGGGCGCCTTCCCGCAGATTGGCCTGTAAGTTCATTTATTTTTAATTTTTTTTTAAATTTTTTATTTATTTTGTATTGAGTCACTTTTTTAATTTATAATCCTTATCTTTTAGGCATTTTGCATAGTATTTCCGGGCAGTGGGG